ATATAATAGAAAATTCTCTTAAAATGGAAGTGTATATGAATGTCAGTATAAAAAAATTGTAAAAAAATAAAATTTTCTTAAAGTAATATTTTATCCAAATTTTCAAATCGTTTTCTCCAATTTTTTTGAGTTTAAATAACAAACAGATTTAAAGTTTAAATTGGTAATTTAATTTAAATTGAAATATATGAAATTTTAACAATTTACATTGACGATAAAGTTAAAAGAAAATTGGAAGAACCTTTGATAATTATGTAGGTATATTAAAAAAGTCGAAAAAAATTTTTATAACAAAAAATCAAACGAATAGATGTCAACTGAATAATCAACTAGAAAAAGGTAAAAGAATGAATAGAAATTTAAATTTAAAAAAGACCTAACTCTCTGGTGATTGAAATCCAGATCCAATTTTCTCCTTTCAATAAAATAGTCTTCAATTGAAAGTGAGTTTAAATAAATAATTTTTCAGAAAAAAGATTGCTAAATTGATAATTTAATTTAAATTGAAATATATTACCCTTTAATAATCATTATTGATGATAAAATGATTTAAATTGAATAACTGTTTATAATTAGGTAAAGTAAAACAATCACGAGTTTATTTAATTAATGAACAAAAATCAAACGAATAGATGTCAACTTAACAATCAATAAGATAAAATTTAAAAAAAAAAAGATTACTAAATATAAAAAAATTATTCTTTCAACGTAATTTTTATGAGTTTTTCCAATCGACTATTTCATAGAAAATAATTGTGTACTCCAACGAACTTCAAATTAAATTCTTCGTAAGAATGTTTTAGACATTTAGAATTATATCAAACCTTAAAGATCCCAATAATATAATTTTAAAGTAATGCGAATTAACAAAGCGTCTAAGAATTTGAATGAAACCTGCCCTCGTGGAATGTAATTTTAGAGGGAATTTTCTTAGCTTCTTCCTTTTAATGTCGGTTTTAATTTAGACCTACCCATCTATAAAGAGATCTAGATAACAAAAGTTTAAATTTAAAGAGACGTCTAGCCGACACACAATAGGGTTAAGAATAAAAAAATGGTTAAATGGTACATCTAATCCAAATCTCAAAAAATTCTTCCTCCTTAATTCCTCATTTTTAATTTCACATAATTTGTTGATACGGTCCGTCAAAAAATGTGTGAATTTCTTTTCATTTTTCATTTCAACCTTTGGAAGTAAAGTCTGATGATCCAAGACCCTTTTAAAGGGGTTGTGGTGAAATAACTTATTACAAAAGAACCTTAAAGTGGTCTGTTTTGTTTGAATATATGTATGTTAAAGATTGTGTGACAAATAATGGTTTAACACTAATATCGCCAGAAAAACCTTGCTGCTCATTGTGTTTATTTTCAAACAACAGGATTTAAATTAGTTCCACTCTATAAATGCCTGGCTACTTCTAAAAAAAGGTACGAAACAATATCAAAAAATCTTGGCACTTGTAATTTCTTTAGAACTCTCTCTACAACAACTCAGCATTTTTCGTTTTTCTACAGCATTTTCTAAGAGAAAATTGATGTGGCAGAAGTATAACATTGATATACACCACTGAGGATAACCTCACTCGAATACATGAAACGATAAATCAAAATAAGTCCCATTAACAGTGTCCTAATTGCATTTCATGTCTAGATTTTCCAATCTCCATACATATAAAAATCATCGACATAAACCCTTGTTCGAGGTCGTTTTTAAAATATATAAAAAAACTTAGAAGGGAGAATTTCATATTAAAAGCATTATTGTGTTTAAAGTTATCTTTCAAGATCCTTTCGTAATCACAATAAGTTTTCTTGTTTGGTCTTATATAAGACAGCAAGAAAGGTAAAAGATAATGTTTATGGGGTTATTCATTTTACCGTTTTTCCAACCAAACATTTTTTCGATGTTTCTTCCAGTATCATATCAGGGTTTTGACAGATACTCTACTTTCAATTGTTTTTTCCGAACAGAATCGCCAACCATTTGGCAGGTACAATGTGATAAAATTTATTTTTTGATTATATTGACAAATAAATTATTATGAAATTACTAAAATTGATATTATGAGATGAAAATTGTATGAGGAATTTTATCCTTTCACATATTATTTATCGTTTAGTTAACCAAAAATTTGAAAAAAATTTCATTGAGTCATAAATGTCCGCTAGATTTGAAATTAAATGATTTAAAAATTTGCTATTCAATAATAAAAAAAAAAAAAAAAATCATTTTTCAAAAGAGCAGAAAATAAAAGTCTAAATATTGAAAAAAAAAAACTGTTTCCCATAATAAAAAAAAATAATACAAAGAATATTTATATAACTATATATATATGAGGGTGCAATGGATAAATTGTCGTCTAAATTACGCAAAAAAAAAATAACAATGACATCTCATTTTAACAGATATATTTACCAAAATTACAAAAAATATCTTGAAATACTAAAAGAGTAAATTTATTCAATAAAATCGCCTTTGGCTTCAACCACAGTCCTGACAGACGACTTCAGAATCTCCTGCAACTCTTCTTCTGGACGGTCTCCTTGTTTAAGTTGGTGAATGCTGCCATAATCCTTGCCTTCAATTCATCTTTGGTGTTACAAGGAGTTTTGTTGGTCTCTCGCTCAACTGCGCCCCACATAATAATCAAGGGGGTTGCAATCTGGGGAGTTAGGTGGCCAGATGTAAGGGAGTGATGTGGTCGCAGAAATTGTCTGACAGCCATGACTGGGTTCTCCTGCTTGTGTGACATGGTGCAGAGTCCTGTTGCCAGATATAGGGTCTTCCAGCAGCCACCCTCTTGACCCAGGGCAGCACTACCTCCTCGAGGCACTTTATGTAGGCCTCAGTGTTGAGTCTGAGGCCGTCACCAACAATTTTTATGGGTTTTTTATCAGAACGATCAGAGTGAGTTTTTCGAGCTGCTTTACCTTCGTAATCACCATTAGACTCGGACAGCTCTTCCCGAATCCTCTGCACTGTCCTCAGATTGACACCCAAACACACTGAAATGTTCATATTGGAGCCTTCGGTGCGAATGCCAAGCAGTATAGTATGCTGTTTCCAAATTTCTAGCGGAGTGAATTCCGTCATGTTTGTCTTTTTCCCCCACAGACGGTGCCCAACTGAACCTACTAAACTGTGCAGTCGACGAAATTAAAAATATAAAATAGCAACAATTTACCCATCGCACCCTATATATATATATATATATATATATATATATATATATATATATATATTTACACCAGATCCATTTGACAACAATTTTATACAAAAACAAGGATCGCATCATTTAGTGGATTGTTAGTAGTTTAATGCTTATATTTAGTCTGTTAGCGAAGAGATTTCGCCATTAATTGCATCAATATTGCTAATTGATTCAATGTCTGATTATCTCTTTATAACACACACACACATTATATATATATATATATATATATATATATATATATATATATATATATGCGCGGTACTTTTAAAGAAAGCGCTCAATATCAGAGCTAGAGCTAACATATTTGGTTGGATTGATGTGAGTTTGTGACCCTGGGTTTCACGCTTTTGATTATTGTCAGACAAACTGATTAATTTTTTTAAAATTTGGGTTTATGTAGATTGCGTGTATTGGTGTTTGTTATGGGAGTAGGGGGAATTAATCAGTTTGTCTGACGATCGCAAAAAATTAAAACCCAGGGTCACAAACTTACATCAATCCAACCAAATATATATATATATATATATATATATATATATATATATATATATATATATATATATATATAATTGTGTGTGTTAAAGAAAGAGATAATTAGTGGTAAGATCACTAGCAGGTGTACAGTTCATGTTTGGTTTCATATTAGTTATTGTGTTAATATATTTATGAAATCAAGAGAAGTATTACGTTTTTAAATGCGTGCAGTAACGAAAGCTAAATAAAGGGATGTTGCCACGCACTCACATTTGTCAAATACAACTTTTTCTTTCTCTTTACTGACAGGCAGTTAAACTGTGCCCGCGTGTCTATTCACAAGAATTTATTCCTGGCTTACATTGTTAATGGTGTCGTCTGGATTATCGAATATACATCCATCGTGACGGATGCCAGGGTTTTACTGGAGAACACGGTAAGTTTTTCCTGCAATTTCGTTAATCTCGGCGTTCTGTGTTCTAATTATCTTTGCTGAGCGCTAACTCTTTTCCAGAGTGAAAAACGACAGATGGCACGCCAGCATATCGTGCAGTCCAACCTTTTGCTGATGACAGTGTCCCATTGTTTTAAGAAACCTAAGGGACCTGCATGTAGTGTAGCGGTTATCGGGCGGAATTTGGAATCTGAGTCGTGTTCAAATTTTGGTTTGATTTGTTTAACAACTTCTTATGGGTCATTTAATGCCGAAATTTAATTTTCTTGGGAGAATCAGTAATTTATTTTACAAAAAAAACCTTATTGCTGGTCTTTTTTTTTTTTTTTTTTTCAAAAATGTATTGCTGGTAATTTTCATAATGTTTCGACCTCAGTTTGGGGGTTCACTATTTGCCCATAGTTAGGACCCTAACAGGTGCTACCACTCCAGGTCAGAAAAGAGCTGGGAACAACAACAACTAAGAGATTATCCCACGCTCCACAAAACCTCCTTGCTGCCGGATGTAATTTATCGTCATACCCAGGACGATCGTGTTCACTTTTGCACAAATGCCTTTGGAAAAAGAGGTTGATTTTTTTTTTTTTTCGTTTAGAGGTATGTCAACTGCTAGTAGTTATTTAATGCCGGAATCTAAATATTTTGTACGCAATTTTATTTATTTGTCAAAGAGGGGATATAATAATGATTTTAGTGACACAAGTCTTACTAATTAACCCATAGCTGGGAGAGAAGAGGTGAATTGATACCAAGGGTATTTGCGCGTAAGTGAATATAACGAACCCAGCAGGAATTGAAACTCTGCTCTCAAATTAAAATTCCGAGCTATTATCCATTACACCATCCGCACATCCAAGCTTACAGCACCTGGTATTCCTAAGCGGTTACCTGTCGAGGTACTGACCAGGCTCAACGTTGCTTAACTTCGGTGATCGTAACCGGTGTTTCAACGTGATGTAAGCCCTTGGAAAAGGCAGGGAATCCATCTCTCCTCCCGGTAGCTGTGGGTTAAATAGCAGCATTTTCTGGTCTCTAGATGGCAACCAGTTTAAGAGAAGCAAAACGGGAAACTCCTCCATCTTTCCAAAGAATGCATAGCAAATCAGAGATAATAATGGAGGAATATTATTATTGAGAAGGAATGAGACTACGTTGGGGACTATATTTGAAATTATTGGATATTTGCGTTCGTTTTTAGTATCCTATTTGTTCTTTGACTATTAAAACTTTTAGAATTAAACCATTAATAATCTGTTCTTAATGTAAATATTGAAACTTGAGGTTCATAGTTTGGACTCTGATTGACCAAAAGTGCAGCCAGAACTTTTTCTCTTTTCATTCTTAACATTGTTGGTCATTACTACAATTTATTATGTACCAGTACATCAGTCAGTTATGTTCCATGCGTGATACACGCTTAGGTGATCATGTATCTTTCGATACATGACTGACGACGCAGATTTTTTCCTGCAGTAGGTTGCCATTTTTTCTGCGGTAGACCAGTTGCTATCCGAGGCTATAGAACCTAGTCTGTCTTGCTATAACTTAGAAGAGGATTCATACATTTCCTAAGGGTATTAGGACATAAGTGAATGTAATGGATTTGACTGGAATTCGAACTCCGCTCTCCGATTCCTCAATCCGCACGTACAAAAGCTATTTTTTCAAACTTCTGGTCCTCTTCTATGTGCCGTGTCATCTGCATATCCTATGTTGTTTGATTACGGTCGCAAATAATGTATCATGGTACGACCTCTTATTCTCGCGGGATCGCCTCGCTGTAATGGTTGAATAAGTCTGGTGAAAGGACATCCCTTAGGCCACTTTCTATTTGTGTGTATTTACTGGATTTCTTTTCTATTCGTTTGCACCCAGTATGTGTTCTCGATTATTCTAATAGATTTACCAAGTAAATCGAGCTTACCTAGCAGTCCAACCAGATCTTTGTGACATACATTATCCAAGGCTTTTGTATAATCTAAAAAAAAAAAAACAGTTATACATCCTTCTCTATTTGTGTTTCTCTTTCTGATATCATTCTGAGCATAAATATTGCATTCTTTGTTCCAGTGTTTTTTTTTAATGAGACCGCACTCTTCTTGTATTTGCGGTATGTTGTAGAGTACGACTCAGAGTATTCCTCTACTACAGTGATAATTTACTGCTCCTACTTGTAAATATGTTAAGTGGCAACATTAGAATAGGATTTGAGTAGTATTTGATTTACTCGAGTATTTCCGTTCTATGTATTAGTATTTGCTAAACCTTTTCTTTTATTCCTCTACCTAGTCTTCTGTTCCTTCTACACACACACTCTCTCACTCCCCTTCCTAATTCTCGTTTATTTTGAACAAAGACATCATTACAACAATGTATAATACTGGTAAACGCTCTACTAATCAAAATTAGGATGATAAGTTTCGCTATGTGGATCATTAGGATGATCGTCCGATGGATCTCGCATTCGTTTGCACCTGGCTTATTAAGCAGCGCTACGAAAATGGATCTACTAAGGTCTTCCGGTATATCTCTTTTGCCGATGTAACTCTAGCTTCCCTTACTGTGCCCGACTTTGAATTTCCATTATAATTTAGCACGTTGAATCTTCTTTTAACTCTGTCGGTATATATCGTTTGCAATTCAGGTTCTTCAGGAGTCTATCGTATTGTATTTTGGATGCATGCTTGACCTTCCTCAACTTGCGTAATTTCACTCTAAGGTTACATACCACTGAAAGGTGGTTGCTCCCACAGTCGACACTTCTGCATGTTTTACAGTGTATGACTACATTCCTAAATCATTTCTTGATCGCTATGTAATCGATTAGGTTCTTTTTTGTCCTCCTAAGCGTTCTGGGTGTTGGCTACTCCCTATTCATTAGTCTTGCCCCAATGGGGCCAGTTTTTCCACCTTCATTACTGATTCAAATTTCTGATGCAATTATAAAATTGTACAAAAGAAAATGGCGATTTACCTCGTCGGCCAAAACGCTCTCTTTTTGCATGTTGTTTTTGTGGAAAAAAGGCCCCTCCATTAGATGAGGCAGGTATTGTAGGTTAGCTAACATGCAAATCAGTTTTACTCCCAGCCAATCGTAAGCGGTTTAAGCGTCACCGATTTGAATAGGCTGCTTTAAATAACATGCAAATCTTTTTCATTGTTGGTAAATCGTAAAGCGTTGCCAGTCGAGTAGATGGCTTTAAAAACTGCTGATTTGTTTTGTTTTTTTTTGTTTGTTTTTTTTATTTTTGTTTTTTTCACGGGCTGGTAGAAAAATTGATTTGAGTGGATACGTATGAGGGAAGCAAACTTCTTGACATTTTGAGACACTTTATTCATCATTTTACAAAGATATAATCGCTTATTAAGTCAATATGAACTCCATGTGTAATGATATAATGAATAATTAAGCAGTAATTAAAAGATGAAAATAAATATGCACATTCATTTATAATATATATGTGTGTGTATATGACAAACCCTTTAAGCTAGTGAGCAGTTTCTATTAAACTCAGACAAGATATGTTCTGATAAGGCAACAAGAATTTTTTAAATGTATTATTTGTTTTTGATTATCATTATGGGAATAAGCAGGAGGATGTCCATATTATTAAAACACTTAGGATATTAGGCGAAAATATCATATACTTCATAGTACCTATCACTGTTCATTGGTAACTTCCAGTAAGATCATTCTCCTTTGCAGACTAGGGAGGTAGTCTAGGATTTTGTGAAAAATGTATGAAATTTAATGAGGTGGTGTATAACAAAGTGGGGAAAAGTTTTCGTGTGATACGTTTCGTCATTTACGACTTCATCAGACTAAATTTGTTACGTTGGTGCGACTACACATGCGCACGAACGAAGGGATGCTGGGAAATTTTATATATATATATATATATATAGCCATTTTCATTTAGATTCTTTTTCTTTTTCATTACTTTTGTTATTAGATATACAACACTGTAATAATAGATCTGCCAAGAACAGTGAAATGTTGTAAGAGCCAGGGAGCAAATTTACTGTGGATGACTGTGATCAAGGCACTCTCTAAACACTTTCGTCTTAGTGAATTGCTTTCTCTTTTGATCAGCCATATTTTTTCATGTTAAAATTATGGTCGGTCTCGTTACTGTGAGCAGCTAATGCATTTGATGTATTGTTTTGTAAAATATCTCTTGTGTTCATATAATCTTTTAAAATTACCAGCATCCCTCATTTATAAAAAAAAAAATCACACACATTTTACATAGATAAAGCTCTTCGCCATGCGTGGGCTGTACTTGTGTGTACAATGTTTTATATTTCTTTAAGGTATGAGCTACCAGGAATTCCTTCAATTAGTCTATCAGAACTTTTTTCAATCAGTCCAAGGGCTACAGCTACAACTGGAATTATTGAGGTCCTCATGTGCCACATTCTTGAGATTTCCACATCCTCTGTTCATCGCTAGGTCAACATCGGAACTCTTTCTGCTTGTATCCCACCAACAGGCTGTATCGGAAACGCTCTTTAACTGAGAGTGGAACCTCATAACTTCCGACCTTGTTGTATTTGTTTCCAAAATATTTAATTCATTTATCTATTATTTTATTCTCTTTTGGTCAAGTGGGTAGCTTCGCAGACTTTACTGCTGGTCATAAGAACACAAAACTACATGACTTCGGGTATGTTCTAATAACTGCCGTTTTCCATTGTGTCACACAAGAAAGCGTATACTTTGAAATGATGATTAATCTCGCAGACTATTACTAGTTAATTTGATCCTTAGAGACTGTCCTATAATTGGCCCTTTAACAGAGTCAGTGTTTAAAAAAACGTATACGTCTCAGATCGAGAATAATCAATACTATGGCATTCGGTTCTCTCTGGTTACCTGTCCAATTACCACGGCCTTGTGCTAGACTAAACTTGGTAAATATCTATCTACTATTTCCAGTGAGCAGTTACTAATTTGTTATTCACCTACTTTAGAAGCACGTGGTCACTGATGTTACGAAATTTAAACATCCATAAATTAGGCGCACGTGTCTAGTTAGAAAAAACTATTTTGCAATGTTGTACAGCCTCTTTACTGTTACTTGTTTATGTGCGTCTCATTCGATAAAGATTCCTTTGTTAGCTAATTATCCTGCAGCAAAATATTACTAACTTTAAATCTGTGTTTTGCATTTATTTCGGTCTGCTTCCAAAACAAATATATAAATTCAGTTATATATCATAATTATTGAAATGAAATCTAAAAAGTTCACCCTATTTAATCATGGTATACTGTAAGTAACCGTTTTATATAAAAGCAAGCCTAACTTCTTTTTTTTTAACTTCCTTTACTATCGTATAAACTCGAGTATAGTACGACTGTTTATGATCTTTGTTTAAGCAAAAAAAAGGGGTGGGGCGAGGTCACACGATAAAAAAAGTTTTCTTTTTTGGACAGGTTAAAAAAATCATGCATTTTCGGTGAGCAGTTACACTATACACAGTTAAAAAAAAAATTCTGGAGAGGTTAAAATTATTGCAAAAACAAAAAATCAGGTTATCGGACTATACATGCAGTCAACATGTAAACGAGTTTATAGGGTAAATCTAGGGTAAATTAGCAAGGTCGATTAAAGTTTAAAGACAGTAAAATCGGCCTTGCTAACCGAACGCTCCTCTGTGGCCGAAACGTTTAAAGGCATGTCAGGCTATATGACGGTTCCGTATAGGATACTGGTTCGATTCCTGACGGAGGACGAAAATATTCTATGAAAATTTCTCGAACATTCAGGCCGGTGAATGTTGTTTAATACTGTTTATTGTAAAAAAAAAATCAGAGCATTTACTTAAATATTTGTATCTATAAAAAGAAAGTATATATATATATATATAAAATGATTGACATAATCAAATATACCTCGAAAAAAATAGTCTAATATAAGTAAAACCATATTGTCTGTCTCTATGGATAT